GACTGATCTCATAACCATCATGAAATAAATAGCAAATAAGTATAAATGCCATTTTTATCTTAGAATGACTGCAAATTATAACACAAAAACATAAATTTTAAAACTAAATACCTTAAATCTCAAAAAATTATACATTTATATATATTTATTATTTTTATTATATTGACCTTTCAGCCATGCCTGGCTAACAATACAGAAGTTACAATGATGAGCCGCACATGCACTCATGTTACCATATCCAATAATATAAAACTGACCTTTAGTCTCCATAAAATGACCTGTCTTGGCTGTTAACTAGTAAATTGTAAAATAGTCACATTTTAATTATTATACATTATATAGGTATATAGATTATTACTATTTACAAATAACTTCTTAAACTTATTTTTCTTAAACATAGAACAAAAAATAAAGAAGTAAAACAAACAATTATCTCTTCTAGTTCCAACCTTTGAACTTGATTGTTGCTTCTCATAGCTTGCTAACACTTAAGAATTTCACACGTGGAGGATGTTAAGTGAAATAATGTTTTTAAAATTTTATATATACAGTTGAATAACCATAAATTACTATATTGATACTATAGAATTTCATTATAATTTATCAAGCTTAGTGACTAAGATGTATTTCAGTCTAAACATATATGAAATTTCAAGCAGATTAAAGACGTAACTTACCTCCTGGAAATCTTGGTTTGAACGAGATGGTGTGCTAACAGTTTAAAATGGCTGAGCAAGCCACTAGGGGACATTCTGAGATTTCGATTGGTTATTCACGTTGTATACACAAGTAAGTGTATATAAGGGACCGTTTCTAAAAATGGAAAGATGTGAGAGGAGCCACTGTGTTTGATTCAGTACATGAGCAATATCTCAGCAAATAGAAAAGATAGGAGGTTCTTATTTTATGTTCTAGCTTGTTAATATTGGTAATACGAGTTCCTAATTCATGTAAAACTATAGACTTTGTATTTTGACATCATAAACACTCAATTTGAACCAGTGTTGCATTCAACATACCACATGACACACAAAATACAATGTTTAGGTGTTTTTTAATATTTACTTTTAAATTAAGAAATTGAACAATGTATAATACAAAAAATTTGAATTAGAATCTACAGTTTGATACCAAACATATTGACATAAATTCGTAAAATAGTAGTTCAATGAAATTATGAATGCGAGTCGACAAATGCCATGACATGTCCTTTGACGCGTGTGGAAAGGGTTAAGGGAGAATTTTGTGTATCTTATCAGTAACAGTAACACTGGACAAAGGCAATTGAGAGAACAAGATTAGGTTTAATATGGTGGAGTGTATAATCCGGTAACTAGTGTTGAATGAGATTATAAATTGGGACTCGTATCTATTTGTATTATTTTAAACAGCTTGCCTGTTGAATGATTTAGAAGAATAAATTAGTAGTATCAGTGTTATACATTATTCAAATTGTATCTCAAATTCTCTGTGGTGAGTAAAATACAACTCAAAACACTATATGTACTGAGTTAGTGAAGTTGTATGTAAGACCCAAATTACATTTTAACTTATGGGTTACATGTATTTTAGACTCAGTATTAGTTTACTACCAAGTAATAATGAAACTATGACAGTGTTGTATTTTTGACGGTCAGGTGTGAAATTCATGTTGCTTGACACCTGGGTAATGAGACTTGTCTGAGGGATAATAGATGTTATGGTTATACTTTGTTCATTGAAGCAGTAGATAATTTTTTTTGTTTCAGTTTTCATTCTGTTGCTAGAAAAAATACTAGGCAGAATTTTTTAAAGTAATACAAGCCCTTAATCACACACATACACTAAAAAATATATCTAAATTAATGTGACAATATTATTGCATTACTTCTGTTCACAGAATGAGCCTAGTAAAGTTTTACTGTCAGCTGTAGAAAGAATATAACATAATAAAAATTGCAAAAAGCCTTAAACTCCTTAAGTATAAGTATAGTTTTTTAAACAATTTTAGTTCATGGAACATTTATGTAAGCCATGATGTCTTTACCAGTTCTGTATTTGCGTGAGGTATTTTACATATGCTACAAAATGCTAATAATTGTTAGAAATTTTAAAATACATGGTCAAAATATAATACAAATATGATTATTGTTATTAATACTTGTATACAGCTGTTTTATTTATTTTGCTCTTTAAAAAATGTTACAGCTGGAAATTGGAAGCAAGTTTTATATCACAATAACCTACAATATGATGCATATCACAATATGTATAATCAATTTCATTTCTACTTGGGATAGTAAATCTTGTAGAAAGATCTAAGTTTAATATTTATGGTTACAATGCTGAGTCGAGCTATGCAATTAGTGGAATTTGATAACTGATTTATTATTGAGCTCGTTAGTCAATTACATTAAACTAATCAATAATTCTCATTTAATATTGGCCCGGCATGGCCAGGTGGTTAGAGTGCTCGACTCGCAATCTGCGGGTCACGGGTTCAAATCCCCGTCACACCAAACATGCTCGCCCTTTCAGCCGTGGGGGCGTTATAATGTGACGGTCAATCCC